TGGAAATGTGTCTACCCAGGCCTTTCTACAAACTGCCCCCTTCTCACTCGAAAGCAGTCACGGTAACACATTCAGGCAAACCAAGCAGGTCTCTAATCCTGTTTGTCATTTGTTTGAAATCTGTCCATAGGCGCCGGCTTCTATATTCTCTGTTATTTAAGCCTGGATATAGAGCTTAGAAACCCAAGGCAAATCTGTGTGACAAGGGATTAAGAGAGGCATGGAAACATTTTCTAAAGACTGTTTGACTGTCTAAGAAAATTTCAATTACTGATGCATGGACCCAGTTTCCTTAGCAATCATACCTATTCACTTGAGTTTATAAGAATACAAAAGAGATTTCCTTTAAAACAGATACGTGAACTGAGAGGACACAGTAGAGCACTTTGATCAAGATCTTCCTTAGAACTTTATCTTCAAAAACTATGCTGCAGCATAATAAAATGCACTTTCTTTTCAATCAATTTTTTTACATGGTTGATGCTACACTTTGATGGGAGTAGGTGAATCTCCAACATTTAAGTAAAAAATATTTTGTTTAAGTGGCTGTTTAATGGCCTTTAAAGGAAAGACTCTGCCCTTCCCCCTTGGGAAATGGAGGGTAACACTATCAATGGAAAGTTCTCATCTGCTTATTCTGGGTATTGAGACACATTTCCAACAACCTGCATAGACGACACTATATATATTTAAGAACATATTTTATAATATGTTGTCTCAATAAAGCTACTATATAATTTAAATTTAAAAATAAAAATGATTTTAAAAAGCAAACATTTGCTTGAAATGGCACATGTATCACCTTTAAGGAGCATGTGAGTGTGGAGAGCAATGGACAGGTGTGTACTGTCATCCCTTGTTAGGTCAAGCCATACTGAACAGAAAAGAGCTGGTTGTGGGATGGGATGCTGTGGCCCTAGTCTGAGCTACTTCACTCTGACTACTGGACCTTGGGGATTGTCAGGCTCAGGGTAGGTGACTTTGAGCAGAGACCATCTCTAAACCATACTGTTCTTAAGACCCCTTCTCTGCTGGCATGGAGTGGGGAGATAGTATTAGCGTGTCATCCAGACCATGGCCCAGGCTGCTTGGCTCACACTGACATAAATTTCCAACCCAATGCTTGTCCCTCTGATCTACATACAGTAGGTAACACGACATCTTCAGAAGAAAAATGTTCTCTTTTCGAGTATCTCTTTCCCTGCCCTCCCCCAATAAAATATTCCTTCTTATAGGCAGCAAAAACTGGGAGGGAAACTTGCCATCCTCAGTATTTAAAATAAATGAATGTGTTAATGTGCTTTAAAGAGGGATTTCTTTACTTATGTCCCTATTTATAGCTCTTTGGTAGCGGAGAAGGCAATTAGCTCCATTCTGACTCTCCACAGTGTAATAGGCTTCCCTAATTACATTCTCATTACTGCTGCTTTATCTCCATGCTCTTGGTGGGAGCTCTGCAAACATCCCTGTGGCTGGCGGCAGGTGGGAATCCTCTGTTTCACACTACTTAATTATTGTAGACAAGGTGATAATTTCTTATCAGGTACCCCACACAAAGGATAAAAGTCAATAGACTCCCATAAAAAAGAAGTACTTTAAATAAAATTACTAATTTACACAAGGATTTGAGAATTAGTTGTGCTTAGAGATGAAAACTGATTTAAAAAATGAGGCATTACATTATTAAATACCCCATGGCCTTGCTTGTTTCCAGTTCTTTTATTAGTCTGACTTTGATGCGAAGTTTGAAACTTAAGCCTCAGAGGACCTCTACAGACAGCAAAACTTTAAAGAAACTGAGAGTGGCTTAGTAAACAAAGATGTGTAAATATGCACAATAGCAGATGCACCAAACATGCCCATTTGTCCAGTGGACTGAAAGCAGAGCCACTCTGGCCTGTAGCGGTATCTGTAGATGGCTCATCTGTGGGTTTATGTGGCGAGATAGGGGTGAATGCAAGGCCACTGGTTTGGCAGAAGGGAAAGCTAGAATTGCAGTGGGTGAGCTGGAGAGAAAGAAGGAAATCTGAAAAGCACAGCATAGACCTTTTTCCATCCTGCAATTCAGCAACATCTAAAAACTGTATACCCATTGAACTATCAATTCCAGTGCTAAAGTTTTATCCATCAGACATAATGGTACAAGCAAACAGACATGCAAAAAAAGCAGTTACAGCCTCATCATTTGAAATAGCAATCTACTAGCAGTTATTTAAGAAATAAGTAGATGTGCACTCACGTGGAAAGATGGCCAAGGTACAATGGTACATGCAAAAACTGAGGGGACTAGGAATGCATACTGTGACAATTTGGATCTTTAAGAGATATACCAATGTGCTATATGTGCAGAACAGTCATTCATGAAAAGATAAGACCCCAGAGTGGGGGAGAGGGCTTGTACACATTTCTGTATTACTTGAATTTTTATGACTAAAATAAAAATCCAGTATGTCCAACCTAAAATATTACCCCTGTATAGAAAAGAGCAAGACAATTATTCCTACCAAGGCCTGCTTTCAGGGTCAACTCTTAGCTGGTGCCTGGGAACTTGGATTTTGGATGAGTTTTCAGCATTCCTTGATAAGGCAGGCTCACTGTGCCTAAACTGATTGTATAAACAATGTCATTCATATTTAACATCTGCTTTTCCCCTAGGAATATGGAAGTTTAGTTCATATTAAGACAAGGGTACCTATGACCCTTGGCAAACATTTTGTAAGTATCCTCACACTTGTTTCTTTAGGAAATTCAGCACAGCCCATGAAAATTAATGGAAAGACTCTTAGAAGCTTGTAGCTTGTCTCCCCCAAACTCATCCCCAAGCACTTGTCCTTTGCTGGGTTTGCTTTGTATTCCTTGACTGTAATAAACTGTCACCCTAAGTATAACCAACCACATGCCAGTTTCTGTGAGTCTTCCTAGCAAACTACTGAACCTGAAGATAACCTTAGAGGACCCTAACATCTTCTTATTCTTTTCCATAGAACCTTCACATTACTATTACATGTCATGTACCAACATGTATCATGGTCACACACATATTTATGGACTTTGCATGTGTGTACTAACCATATTTTTTCACTGAACTAAGACCCCCCAAGGTTGGCTGTATGTATTGATTACCCATATGCTATAAATATTAAATGAAGAGCCAGACAGGTTGGCATATATCTTTAATCCCATCACTCAGCAGACAGAAGCAAGCAGATCTCTGAGTTTATAGCCAGGCTGGTCTACATAATGAGTTTCAGGTCAGCCAAGGCTACATAGTGAGACCTTGTCTCAAAACAACAACAACAAATTCAATGAAATTGGTAAATAAAACTAAGACATTCAGAATCAACACAGTGCAGAACCAAACTGTATTTAATAACTGTCATTTATATTCCTCCCTGAAAGGAGAAATTTTTATCAAGATGACAAAGACTTCAATGCCTGAAGGCCACCATTGGGCTTACTGGAGATCATGGGCCTCTCATGATTCTTGGACACATAGGATGGGAATGATGCTCGTCATGCCCTTCAACTGCTTTTTCCTGTGGCTGGAGGCTCCTCTCTTACACCCTTCCCCTCAAGTCTTGAGAAAAATGGAAAAACTTCTAACTACTATGAACATATTCACTTTTACTCCAAGCTGTCTGTGATTAGTTCTCTGATATTACAGATATCCATAGATGACAAGGGGTGGTGGACAATTGGCTGCTGAGTCAAACAGTCCCTAAATCCCATCTTGGGGTACCTTACATAAAAGGGTTTACTTAGCTTTAAATCCTTGAGTTCATATTGCTAGCCGTAGTTCTTCATTCTATGATCTCTATATTGCATTCATAATTCTAAAGCTTATCACAAAGAGAAATTAATCTGTCATTTCTCCAGTGTTATCAGGGCTCTGCAGTGCGTTTGGTGCTGCATGGTCTGGGAGAAAGCTTAAACCCAACAGAATCCTTCCTGGGCTCCACTGAAAGCATGAAGCTGGCAGCAGCATCTACATCCATGTCAGCTTCAGAGATGCAACTGCACAGGCCTCACCCAGGTACAGGCACTCCCCAGACTCCACCCTTCAAGCCATTTAGGCACCTCCTGGCTGTAGACTATGAGTGGTAGGTCTCCAGTCTTGGAATTTCCTGTGAAGATCTTTATCTGCCCACTCAGGGACAACATAATGTAGCTTTGCTCATCTCAAATGAAAACAGGTGGGTTTGGGTCACTGACTCATAGGCAAGTGCTTAACAAATGTGTGTAGTGAAGGGTACCTCATCTCTACCTGAAGAACGGACATAGTGTCTGTGCTTTCTTTGTTATACTGATGAAAAAACAGAAATAACAAAGATTCCAAAGTAGATTTTAAAGTCTCTGAAATCTCATCTTTTTATTCACTAAGATTTTGCCTGTAAAGTTTCTTCAGACTGCTGAACAGAAACTAAGTACACAAATGCTAGAGTCTGAGGGGTTCAAATAATTTTATGTATGTGAGCGGAGGAGGGAGGACAAGTGTCTTAAATATCAGCAAACTTTTCACCATTCTACCTACTGCTGTGCCTCTCCCTGTTGTCACCTGTCTTGCACCTCCCCTACGTCCTTCCATTAGTAGGTGTCTTTCCTACTTATCTCCCTGACCCCTACGTTCGGCTTTCTTCCCTCCATCAGGCCATATTCAAATGTTTTCAGATGGAAATAACCAATAAACCTCGCATCTCTGCCTTCCTGTGCTCTACAGTGGGGCCCACACTAGCCTCTTCCCTCCCACATCTGTTGTTGGCACATTTTCCCCAGCTAGTTTCACCTTTACCCCTGGATGCTCTAGAACTTGCTATGTAGATCATGCTGGCTTTGAACTTGTAATGATCCTCCTTCCTGCCTCTGCTTCCCCACTGCTAGGATTACAGACATGTGCCACCATTCCAGGCTCCCATTTATTTATTTATTTTGTGATACTGGGGATTGAACCAAGTATTCGACCACTGACTCACTCTGTCGGTCCCATTCCCAATGCTCTTTACCTTGCTGGCCTTCAGGATGTTGATCTGTTCTTCATATACTGTGTCCCTATTTTTCTCCAGAAAACCATCCGAAAGGTACTCCACCTGGGGCCGCAGCAATGGAAGGAACAGCAGTTAGTGCTTCAGCTTGACTAGGTACCTTCGGCAGCTTCTTAAGTAGCTTATTTCATTCACATGATATTTTCTAAAAAGAGTTATGAGTAGATGGGAGACCCACAGATGTCTCTGTTTAAAATGTAAATCTGATAAGCCACCAGGATTAACACAGAGGGAACTGAGCATTCATTTGGCAGAAGAAAATACTGTCTCAAAAGGGAATTCCCATGATAGAAGACTTCTTCAGGGTGCTATGAAAATAACTTCTCATCCAGTGGCCCAGACACACCAAATCAGTATGAGCAATTACCATCTGAGACTCTAATAGAAATCCATTTAACAAAGTTCAAAGTCTACATCTATCACTGGGAACAGTGTCCCTACCTCATTTTCTCTCCTCCCTTTTCTCTCAGGCTCAACAGAAGCAGATTCCTAATCATACTTGTTGCTGTCTTCCCAGTATAGCAGCCCCCAATTACTTACTACCTGCTGTGCACATGAAAGGCAACTGCAAAAGCACAGGCTGAGCTTAAACCCTGGTCTTGGCAATTCAGTATACCAGAGACAGGGCGGAGTGTGCGTGTGTGTGTGTGTGTGGGGATCACTGAGTGGAACTTACCTTCAACCTCATGTGTCTAGAACTCACAAGGCCAGCTCCCTCATAGCCCAGATAACCTTTAGTCTACCCAGAGTAGTCCTAATGGACCAGCAAAGAGGACGGTCACCTTATCTGCAAAGTGGACGACAATGAAGGCTGTGTTGGACATGCGAGGTTTCTGGAAGTGCTGGCTACTGGAGTGTCGGTCATAGAGCTTCTGGGCCCAGTTCTGGTCAGTTCCTTTGGGGACCTGGAGAACCATAAGATAAAGTGCCTCATGATATAGGAAAAGGCAGTGCAACATCACAGCAGAGGGCTGAGTCTGTTCCTATGCTGGCCCCATGAGGTGGGTTCAGCTCTCAAGCCAGGCCTCTAACTGGACTATGGTAAGAACAACTCAACCACGGATATTCAGGATCCTGCTGCAGCAGGTCCTTGACCTGTCATGTGTGGGCTGGTATCCACGGGAGGATGCTGAGCTTCAAAAGACAAGATAGATAACAGAAGAGGGAAATCCCAGGAAAAGAGGAGGGTGGAGGCCAAAGTCACAGCAGAATTCTACACCTGAAGATATTTTCTTCCTGCAATACCATCATACTTGTTCCCTCCAGCACCATACTCCTGCTCACTTAGGAAGACTCTGCTGCAAGAAAGCCCAAGCCTCCTCTCCTAGCTCATCCGTCTCAGCCCCACTGCCCTTTCCTCTGAAGGCTTTCCTGACCACTCTTCATCTTGCATCTCTCTTCTCTGGAATTCCTCACACTTGATCTCACACAGACACAAACAGCTCAGCATTAGCTTCTGGATATTTACACTACATATTATGACTATGGAGTTGAAGAACTATGGCTTACTGCTTTCTCTCCTGTCCTGCCAAGGATTGAGAATTGGTCTCTGGCCACATGCTCTGCCTGGAACTATTCCCTGTCCTCCAAATGTAGACCTAGACTTAGACTATGTGATGGATTCTCAAGGGCAGCCCCTTTCTTTTCTTTTTAACATTTTTTCCTTTTTTAATTGAATTTCTGCAAATTTCATATAACATTATTTTGATCCTATTTAGATCCCCTCTATCTGCACCCCACTACCTCCTGACAAATTTTATGTACTCTATTTTATATATGTATATGTATTATTTATATATAACATATATGATATATACACCCCTCACTAAGAGTTAGTGGGTGCTAGGGAAGGGGGTGGTTTTCTTCAGTGGTGTAGCCAATAATACGTTGCCCATGTTTCAGTATATAATCCCCCCAACACATTCATGCTTACTAAAATAAGCAACCATAATTAAACTCAGTGGGTTAAAACAAGACATTGCAGTAAGAGGAGGCTTGTTGGGAAGAAGAGTTTCAGTGACAGAGGCAGGAATGAGAGAGGGTAATTTTTGGAAATGCCCCAAACTCAGTATATACATGCATAAAATTGTATATAAAATTTAAAAGTAAAAAAGAAAATATAACACAGTCACTGTGCCTGCTGTTCAAAACAGCTAAGGATGACAGTGACTTATCAATCAGAGGCCACTCACTCCTTGCTTATCCTCAATACCCACCAACAATTCTTAGGTAGGAGTAGCTCACTGCCTCTCCCCCATCAGTTTACATTGTATTTTCAGGTCAGACAAGGTTCAAGGTGACTCTTGCAGTGGCCATTCTAAAAAGGGCTTTGCTGAGTAAATTAAATGTGTTCCATACAGAAAATGCTTACAGATGTGGGAACAAACTTTTTAGGTCCTTTGTAAGCAAACTGATCTTTCTCAGGATTCTATGCAGTATACCTAATACTGAACGCCCAGAGCTATGTGCCATAGGAAATTGAAAGAAAGAAACCTTTTTTTTTCTCAGGAAAGTTATTAATTGTATAGGGCAGACAAAAATATATTTAATTCAGCACTTTCTATATATATATATATTGTTTTATATCTGTCTCCAAGAGTTCTGTTTTGGAACTACCAGGTGTAAAGCGAGGAGGAGTCAGCATGGTAGGGCTCATAAGAACCAGGCAGGCCAGGGCATGGGAGAAAGAGGGACCTCAAGGGGCTGACCAGCTGGGCCACATAGCACCAGGAGGAGAAGCCCACTAAGCAAATACTGAAATCTGCTACCAACAAACTCACCTTGCCTAGCAACAAAATCACCTTGCCTTGAAAATGAGTTTGGACTTGAATGAGAAGATTCTATGACCCTGTATATTCACTAATTCAGACTGGCATTAAAAAAAACAACAGAAAAACAACAAAAACAAAAAACAAAGGAAACCAATGGTCAAGGTCATGTATACACATACTTCTTGACCAAGACCCATCTTTCCTTTAACTCTCATCATATTTCCAAGTAAAAACAAGCCAGCAGGAATTCAGTTAGGATTCTCATAGTAGCAATAGCTAATATTCACAGTGCTTATTATTTGAAATCATTTTCTACATTTCAGTGTATCAACTCACTTAATCCTCATGTCATTTCCTAAGCTAGGTATTGTGTTTGTTCACATTTTAGAGATCAGGACATTGAGACAGAGAGGTTAAGTAAGTTGCCCAAGGACACAGAGTTGGGAAGTAGCAGGCACTGGTTCTAGGGCTTGTGTCCTTCCCTATTAGGCTTCCTGGCCTGACAACAGAGTGTTTTTAAGGCAACCATGAAAGCAGGGTCAAGTAAAAGGTACTCATCTCCAAAAATATTTTCATAAAAGTAGATTTTAATCAGCCACAGGAGAGAGAAAACATTGTATTTTAACACAATCTATGTTATGGCTACCAATGGCTCTAGAATGTACAGTGGAACAAGCCCTTTAAAAAGCAATCCACACATGGCTTCATCCAGGCTTTTTTACACCCCTCTTGAAACACTGTGGGGATCACTGGACCCAGAGTCTGGTTTTAGCTCTGTCCTTCAGAGGCCTAAACCCTCTGATCTGTGGTGCTGGCCACAAGTCATCAGTAAGTTGAAGCCCACCCTACATGAAACACCTTGCATACACAACTCTATGGAGACAATGGGGCGGTGGGCAGGGGCTGCCAGTGCATTTGTGGGGCAGTGAAGATGTTTTAACATCAATAGTGGAAGTGATGTCTGCAACTCTGAATGCACTAAGAGCCACTGAACTGTGGTATGTGAATTATGTCTCAATAAAACTGTTAAAAATCAATTTTACTCTTTGTTATTAAAATAAAGTAGGAAAAAGAAAAAGGCAGCCATGTGGGGGAAATGAAAACCCTTTTCTAATATCCTTGAATAGAGATTATTTCATCACAGACATTGCTCTTGCTTGGGATATCACCTGTGGCCAAGTTTGCCCTAATAGAGCATCAGATGGGAGAGAACTGCTAAAGATTCTGTGACCATTTATTCACCCCTGCTTTTGTTCTTGACTTCCTGAGCCACTGCTACAATGACTGCCTTCTGGGTCACTTATTCACCATCTCATCCCAACCTATACCTCTGTGGCCCTCACATGCCACATCATCTCCCCGTCACCCAACATGAACTCTCCAGTCATGCCTTCACCAGAACATCCCCAGACCCTCTGTCTCTGAGGAATACCTTCTCCTACCTCTCCTAGCTGTCAGAAAAACCCAGCTGGGCCCAGGACCCTGTGGTCCCGCAGCTCTCTAGGGAGGTGGTTTCTGCTACACCCTGCCACATTGCCCTGCATCTGGGCTCCTCCACCCTCAGCAAACACTGTGTGCTCAGCAGCACAACTCCAGACCTGGTAAGCACCCCCACACACACACTCTTCCTGTCATTTAGGGGTATCTGAGTTCACACATCATCTCATCCTGGATCCACCAAGCTCTGCTGATCTGATTTAGAGTAAAAGAGCAGCTGCCAAAGTCAGACCAAGTTTCTGTGGATTGTGACTCTGCTCCCAGCAGGATGTGGACCTGGCAACTACTCTATTCATTTATGGTCTTTGACCTCTGCGAATATCCCTGTACCTAGGCTATTCTTCCTATTCACAGAAGCTACGCCCACCTCCACTCTCCACCAGCTTCTGATATGCTTCCTTTTCTCCTTCACAGGAAATCCAAGTTGTCAGGCAGGAAATTGAGAACTACTCTATGAGTTGAGGATGTAGCTCACTGGAAGAGCATGGGGGTCGCACATGGGTTCTATCCTCAGCACAGCCAAAACAAAAAGAAAGGAACTCCTTCAACCTTCAGAAACCTGTCTGTAGCCTACTCAACCCCTGCCCTACTCCTAGAAAGGAGAGCTCTCTCTTCCCAGCATCTTACCCTCTCCTGTCTCCTGGGGGACCACAATTCTCGCCTCCATTCCTGCTGCTCACAGGCTCCAGGAAGGTGCTTAAACCTGCCATCTCCCCTGCCTCCCCTCCAGAGGCCAAAATACTGCCTCCGTGGCCACTACTCCCCAGCGACTGAAACTGTACCACTCAACAGTCTCCAGGCAGATCACAGGAACTCTACCACAGACTTCCCCAAGGCCCTAAGCCCCCATTATTTCCTGCCTGCCCAGCCTGGATTCTCCCTTAAACTCACCTTCCTGAGACCTGAGGGCCACTGAAGAAACAGGGATCCGGAATGTGAACAACAAACTCCAAGGGTAGGCTGCCCCAGGTGAGGAGATAGGAGGCCAGAGGCCCTGCTGTTTTTGACCTGTGTGTCTGTCACAATGACTCCATAGTGAGGAAGGCCCATTCTACTCATCTCTTCTCATCTGGTTCCACAAACAAATGACTGCTAGTTGAATGGGGCAGATCTTGCCTCTCACATTCAGGCCTGCCTTTATGAGTTCCCACAGCACCTCTCCAACTTCTGTATTCTCTCCAATTTCTGTATTCACTGCAAGTGTTTCCAGAGGCCAAATTATTGCTAGAAAGCAAGTGTAACCCATATGGACCTCACATGTCCTATCAGACTGACTAACTTATTCCCTGGAGACAGACACATGGGATGCTAGAGGGCAGTAAACACCCATTCTGAACATGGCATACGAGTGGGTGGATTGGCTTATGGCCCCCTCAGGTAGCCTTATGATGCACTGGAGACAGCAGAGTTTTGGTGAGAACAGTCTGAAAATTAAAACTGCCTGTAAGTACACATCATCTTTCCCATCTTTTTTTAATTAACTGAGAGACAGCTACGGTTTGTGGCTTGGTTAGGGCATTACTATAGATGCCGAGGCTCCCGCCGCCCCCGCCCCCACAAAGGAACCTGTGTTCTTAGAACGGAAGGACACTATTCTTGTCCTAGTGTAGCTCCTGGCCTCCATCATAGGGGAGAATGATCCTATGCACTGCTCCTCTAAGTCCATGTCCACATTTGTGGCTGGAAAGCAGCTTGTGGACTGCATGCCCTGCACAGCTCCAAGAAAGTGATTTCCCATTGGCTGCTTCACACCGTGAGTCCATTCCTCACTTGGCTTTGAGTCTTGTTACATAGAGGTCACAGAACTCAAGTCGTCTTTACAGTGAAACCTCATTATTCTTTCTCAGAGGATCAGAGGTGGCTTCCACATGTCTGAGGTGAGTCCCACAGGTGACAGGATCAGTCAAAGGAATGCCAGCTACCTCAGGTGCCATCCATGATATAGAAATTCCTCAACCCACTTAGGATCACAGGATACTTGTAGGTAGAAGGGTCTAAAAGCACTGTCTTGTCCTCTTTTCTTTTTCTTTTCTTTTACAAATTTATTACAGTACCACTTTCATACAGTAAAACACTGGGTACATTTTGACAGGTGTAATAACATCTATTGACTTAAAGCCCTCAGTTACAAGGCTGCTTCAGATAGGATTCTACCCTAACTTCCAGAGCAAGGTTATCTGCACAAAAGTTTTCACATTGTGAGCTTTTTGCCTTTCCCCTTAACTTAGTCTTCACCTGGCCTCCTCTTTCCTGGTGTTCTGACATCACCCGCTACCCGCCGCCCAACTAGCTTGATTAGCAAGAAATCCAGGCTTTTGGCAAACCTTCCCTTCTAAGCAGCTGGTGAGGCCTCATGTGGAAACAAGTTCCCAGTAGCTGGGTGTCTCTGAATCAGCTCCCCCGCTCTTGATCTTGCTCACTTGTCACTCTTGCCCCCCAGCTGGCTCATGGCCCTCTCAACCTACTGAAGGATTCTGACTCCAAATGCAGGCTCTGTCTTCAGACCTCCCTGGGCTCTATTCCTGCTGCACCTCTAAACATGATCCTGTTGCTCTTGAGGACTTTTCACTCAAGATGAAGCATCTAATCAACATACATCACATTGTGTTTCATGGGTTGCAGTGGCAGGAGTTTGAAACAGTTTTATTAAGCTATTTCCTAGCGATTCTCGTAAGTAAAGTAGATTCCAACAGGAACACTCTCAGGCATGTGCACTTAAAGACTGAACACAAGGTCCTTGGGACACTTCCTGGGCTGGGATTAGAGCCTCCAGGAAGCTGCTTTGGCAACTGCTGAGCACAGTTTGCATCTATCTGTTTTTTCCACGATTGCTATCTGCTGTATGTTCTCACACCACTCCTATAACTGTCACGTCCCTGCCCAGCACTGCTCTGGCCTTCCCTCATGGGCTTGTATCCTACTTCTTGAATGTGAGGTATAAGAGGTCACTGTCCATCTGACCCCATGCCTGTGCCCTGAGAACCAGTGTTCCTACCTCCAGTTTGACATTCCTGTTCCACTGGGTAAGAATGGCATCTCCAGGATCCCCAGTTGGCAAGGCAAAAGAAACCCATTGGCAGCCAAGGGAAGTTACAACTCATTGCAACCCACTGGACAGCTCCTAAAGCCCCTAAAGAATGGGTCATCCTGAAGCACTGAGGTATTTTTGTGTGAAGCTATAAGTAAATTGGAAAGGAAAGGTGATGTTCCCTGAGAGGGGGGCCGATTTATGATTAATTGTTCATACAAAGCCTGGCTCATCACAGAGCCAAGCAAACTGCTTCCTCTATGGATCCTTAAAAGTTGGGCATGACCTTTACCTTCACCTTCACCACCAGGAGCAGAGTAAAGAGCTGAAGTCTGCTTACAGCAAGAACAGGGGAGCTCCCCAGCCTCAGCTCCCCAGAGGTCTGAGCTGAACTCAGGACCTGGAGCTGTGTTTGGTTTGGGGGTATGAAGTTGGAAGAGAGGGTTACTGATCAGAATCGTAAGGGCCTGGGGAGGGGAGCATGGTCCCAGCTGAGTTTGGGAAAGGGGCTGCTGGCAACTGACATAGACCCAGAAAATTTGAGGAGGAGCTGTCAGCAAACAGGGGGCCTAGGCTATGACTCTGAGCAGTGTCACTCCATCCAGAGAAAGCTGCTGCACCTTGACTGCAAGTTTGCAGATTGAGTAAGATTAGACGAGTACCTGACACACTAAGAAAAAAAGTGTCCCTCCTGGGGCACTGATTTTGACGATAAAGCTCATGTCTGCAATGAGATGCCAAAAATATCAGGGGAGCCAGGTGTGGTGGTGAATGCTTGTAATCCTAGCACTTTGGAAGCCGAGGCAGGAGGATTATCATTTCTAGGCCAGCCTGAGCTACATAGGGTTCCAGGCCATCCTGGCCTATAGAGTGAGACCTTCTCTTTCAGGATCCCCCTGCCACCCAAATGATAAGAGATAAGACTATTTCAGCTACAGGGTTTAGTATATTTTCACTATATCTTCTTTTTGCAGGGTGGGATTCAGGTTTTTTTGAGACAGGATCCCAGGCTGGTTTCAAATTCACTTTATAGCCCAGGTTGGCCTCAAACTTGCAGCAAAGCCTCTTGAGTGCTGGGATTATAGGTATGTCCACCACATCCAGCTCTATCTTCTACCATTTTGTTAACCTTTCCATTTCAAGGCAATGGAACAAGGTATACCTTTCTGGAAGGAAAAATCCTTCATCTCCCTAAACATTCAGCCATACACAGGCCCTTTCTAGCAAATTGTGGGAGAGGAGAAGTCAGTTGTCGTTTCTTCTCTTTCTTTACCAAGAACCATGTGGCTTCTACACTTTCTGATGAGAATTTCCATCACTGAAGGAATTACTATATATTTAACCTTCTTTTCAATCAGGCACCGAACTAAGAGAGACTAACAAGCTCAAACTCAAACCCATCAATTCACAGTGCAGGAAGCCCAGGAAGGTGAGTGACTGATGAAAGCCAGGTATCAGCACCCTATATTCCCAACTGCCAGCTGCTATCCCTGCTGTTGGCACAACTATCTCTGACACACCAGGTAGAGTCCATAAAATCCAGATGTAGGGAGCATAGCTCTCACCTGTCACCACGCAGTTCTCCTACTCACAAGCCATCTGATACTACAAAGACCACCTAGGCTCTTGAGCCTTCACTCTCTAGGGAGGCCTATCCATATGTTGTCTTCTTCTTTGGGCACCCAGGACTTCTGAGGGACCAAATCCATACCACCAACATAGCACACCAATCCCTGCCACCTATGTCTGCCAAGAGAGGCACACATTCGCCAGCATAGCAACACCTGTCAGTCACACTTGAATTATTACCTTCTAGCAAGCACGGTAAATACTAACCCTTCTTCCAGACAGATTCAGTTCCACCTTTGAGATTCACGTATTCCCTTGCACCACACAGGTACCCTCTGCTCCATACCTACAACTGAACCACTTGTGACAGCCTGAGCACTATTACCTTGCATTCTTCATCCAACAGATCCAGGATACCCAGCTTTGCTTCTATGAGGTCAATACAAGGTTGGTTATCATAAAAGTCAATCAAGGTCCAAGGAATCTGCTCCTTCATGTATTCTTCTTGCTCCAGTTTGAACACATGCTAAGACAGGAAGTAGAAGGTCAAGGTAAGTGAACTGTAGACACATCTCGACACTTATCTCCCCTGAGCTCTCGGGGAGTTCTGTGTCCTGGAAGATGGCAGATAACTGCCAGAAAAGGTTTGGGCATTAAGTCACAGTCATGACTAGAAATAGCAAAGCTCCGGTGGGTGACTCCCATTCTTATGCAATCTCTGTCTTAGGACATTATAATCATCAGGTGTATTGCTAATCACCAGGAGTCCCCACCTGGTCTGCAGTTGCTTAAATACCCTGAAAGTCCAGACAGAGCGGAGTGGGTCAAAGGCCAAGGGGAGAATCATTTATCTTCTCTACACAGCTGCCCAAGTTACATCCCCTCCCCTAGCAGTGGATGGCCAATTCCAAAATGCCAAGAGGATGGCAAGGAAGAACAGGAGCCCACCAATCTCAGAAGAGAAGCATCTTGGACACCAAGCCAGGGGGAGAGTGAGCACCCCTTCCACATAGGTCATAAACCAAGCCTACCGAATTGAACTGTTGCTGGAGCTTTTCATTGGCATAGTTGATACAAAACTGCTCAAAGCTGTTTATCTCAAAGGTCTCAAACCTGTAGAAGGAAAGAGGCAAAGCCAAAGGTAAGGGACACCATCTACAGAAGGAATCACTTGGACTTTATAAGGCTGCCCTTCTTAATGCCTGCACTGAATTGCATGCTCCACTCTGTGCTTACAGATCTCTTTTACAAATGTCAACATAGGAAATTAGGAACAGAGGGATTACCAGCTATCTTTGTAACCAGAGAAAATACAGTAGGAAAATTCAAGAACAAATATACACGAGAAGGCTAACTATGATTCTCACTCATGTCCACTGTCCACTACCTCTTGGTAGGTGTCTTGGTGATTTTACATTAAAAAAAAATAATCAGAATTATATTTTACCTCCTGTTTTTAATAATTTAATTTTCTACTGCAAATACTTCACCACACTACTCTTGCAAGGTATCAGTTTTGAGGCTTGCATGGGTTAGGGTTATGGGCAAGAATCCTGGGAACTGCAAAGGTTGGGAGGATGTGGTGGTTTGAATGAGAATGTCCTCCACAGGCTCCAAGTATTTGAGCATTTTGTCCCCACTTAGTGCTGCTGTTTTTTTGGGAAGTCTTAGAAGGTGTGGCCATGCTGGAAGAAGCACGTCACTCGGGGAGGGCTTACAGAGTTCTTAAGCCTTGTCAGATTTTCAGTTGCTCTCTACTTCCTGTGTCTGCTTGAAGATGTGAGAGCTTAGTTTCTGTTCCTACTCCAGCCACCTCTGCTGCCATGCCTCCCTGCCATGATGGACTCTTGCACCTTTGGAACCATAAGCTAAGTAAACTATTCCTTTTATAATTTCCCTTGGTCATGTTTCTATCACAGCAACAGAAAAATAACTAATATGGAGGGGGGACACAGGTACACTGCCCCTCCAAAGCCTGAGCCATCTTACCCCAATCCACAAAGACACCTTAGGAGTTGGCAGTGGCAATTTTTTCCAGTGTATGCTGTTACCAGTGTTGCGACAACTGCATACACCTTTTCAGGTTCATGATTCTTTCCTGAAGACACCCTATGGGAATTACCACATCAAAGGGCACTACTTTTTGAAACTGAACCTCCAGAAAGGGAGAACTAATTTATTATTTATCCACCTACCTTGTCACATACAAAAGTGTCATTCTAACACTGGCCAACAGTCTTGTTTCTCTTATGTCATTTTTACTAAGAGTTTATACATAATAAAATATGTTTCAACAGTTCAATGCATTTTTGACAAATGTCATGCATAGTATATTACAGACGGAGATACAGATAAAGAACATTTTCAGATAAAGAACTTTTTAACTGCAAAACTTTCTTGTGCTCTATTTAGGTCACTCTACACTCTCCTTATGCCTCACTGGGAGAGTATTAATTTATCATAGCTCTTTGGTCAATGGTATATATTAACTTTAAATTTTTTTGATTAGTTGGTGTAAAAATGTATTTGAATAACTTCTTTGATCACTGAATTCATCATTTCTCAGTCTATCTAAACATGTCATCTATACTTGCTGATTTCTCTGTGATCCTCAGGAAACTTTGTTAGACTTTAGGACAGGAAAGAAGTCTTATTTGAGCTGTTTATACTTTAGAATATCAACATATTATTGCTCAGTTCAGAGGTTCACAATATAGCTGATGGCTAGGGTAGGGTAGAAGGAGACTTCAGAGAGGAGAGGAGAGTAGATGAGACTTGGTGCAGTCGAGAGAGGGACCTTGCCTATAGGCCATGTAAATGATGCCATGGGTTTGGATTTTCCTAGGGCCAGTGGGAAGATTCTGGAGGATTTCAAATTAAGAAATGATTATCAGATGTGTACCCTAGTGATGGACAGGAGGAAAAGTAGGTCAAGTGAGGGAGTCACTCTTAGAACAGGTACCAGGTAAGACCCCACCAGAGCTTGATCTGAGTTGGTAGCAGCCATGTAACAGAAAGGACCTCTGACACTAAGGAGGATTGGGACAAGGGTACTACAAGTGGCCCAAGAAATTACAGTTATATGTTGGGGGGGACGAAGGGGACTAGTGTGTATGTGGGGGGAGTTGAGGGATAGGAAGGAAGGGACAAATATGATCCAGGTACAATACAAAAAACTATATATGTATATATGATCCAGGTACAATATGTGTGTGTGTGTGTGTGTGTGTGTGTGTGTGTGTGTGTATTATAAAATTTTTAAAAATACTTGCAAGCTTTCCTTTGCCAGGCAAGGTGGCACACGCCTTTAATCCCAGCACTTGGGAGGCAGAGGCAGGCGGATCATTGTGAGTTCAAGGCCAGCCTGGTCTACACAGTGAGTTCAGGTCAGCTGGGATACAGGGAGACCCTGTCTCAAAAGGACAAAAAAAACAAAAAAAAAAAACAAAAAACTAATTCACCTAGACAGAAATGGAATTGTTCATCACACAGGTAGCATCCCAAGTATCAGCAGTTTCACCTCAAGTAAGTGGGGTTCATTTATGCACCAACAGTGACATCAGGTTGAGGGATAGGGGCCAGAAAAAAGCAAGGAGGCAAAGGCTTTTTCTCACATAACATCAAAGAGCCCTGCAGTGGCCTTCCCTAAGAGCACATACAGGGCACTGAGGCCAAGGACTTTATAAGTTCTCCTTTAATGCCATAACAACCAAGAGTGAAGGGATGTTATTAATTCCACCCTAAAGCTGAGAAAACTGAGGCACTGAGGACATTAAACTGCCCAAAGCCAGAGGGTCAGGAGACAAGAGAGTACTTGAATCCAGAGAATCTGATTTCTGGATATTAACTCACGGCGGGACAAAAGTCTGATAAAAAAGGAAGAGACGAAGAGGATTCTTGGAAGGGCTGTAGACAGGAATAAGCATCTAAGGGGAAGCATCTAAGGCATGGGGAATGGGTGAGGCAGTGGTACGACCAATGGGGAGATACTGGGGCCACCAGCCTTCTCCATCAACTGCATGTCCCTACTCCCTTCCCGTTCCCATGGCCACTATGGACAACTGAATTTTATTCTGATAAAGTATCATGCAGCAAGTACTTCCTAAACACCACTCTCAAGCAAAGATGACAGCACTGTCCCTGGTAAAGTCTAGAGAGCATAGGAGTGGGGAGATAGCTCTCTGTACAGAGGCACTACCAAAAACAGATCCACTAGACACCCAACAGGTCCAGAGCAGTGCCCACAAAGCCTCAGGTTTCCTCACACCCACTTCCCCATCAAGGTCTAAGACATAGAAAAGTGGGCCATTACTTTGATATCAAAGGAGTCAACTGCCTGGAGATAGCCACATTAAAGAACAGCCTTTGGTCATGCCCATACAGAAAAATTACTGTAGGTTAACAAAAGAAGATAAAAGATGCAGGTCCATGCTAGGGTGAAGGCCCCCACTCCATCTTGCAATACAGAACAGGCAACAGAAAGACACTATACCTTCCAATCATTACCCTGGAAGATGGCCCTCACAGCTCAGATCACAGTCCTATAGATAGAGTTATAGCACTTATACCTCTTCTACCTAGAGAGGTGGCTGATGACAATCCAAGTCCACAGGAAATTTAATTAATATAAACTACAAGGAAGATAAAAGAGGCAGCCCAGCAACTGGCCAGATAATAGCCAGTGGGTGTGCTGGCAGAGCTCTCACTGAGCTCTACAGATAGAGGATTTAAACGTCTCCCACTTGTCATTTTTTTAAGGTTTACATTAGGAGCACTCCACAAAGAACATTCTCATTAATTTGAGATGGCTGAAATTAGCTCATAATTTCCTTATTTCTAAAGTATTATGTGGTAACAATTCTTCTGCCATCAAGCAAAATTACTGTAATGCTGGAGATGAATGAGGGGCTCAGTTGGCTTGGAAAATGACTAAGACACCTGACCTCAGAAACACAAAGTCAGGGAGACAGGAAAGCATCTTTCACAACATAATTATATTTGTAGTAATTCTGTCCATCAACATAGATGACTTTCTTAAATAAACACAATCAATTTATGGTTCATAGCATTAAAATGCCACAAGGAGATTTATATACTAGAGGGAATTGGATGTCTTCTGTAAAGTCAAGGTTGAGAAGAGTTAGACCAGAATTCTCAGATGGGAGGAATGTCAAAACAGAATAGGCTGAGATGCATCTGCAACCCTGGTGGTGCACTGATCACCCCTGCTCCAATTTCCTTCCATATTCAGAATGTACAGAGTAGTATACACTTTCCTTTTCATTGTACCCATTTCAGGGTGTAGAAAGATCACAAATCCCTCTAAAAATACCACAGCAACTGCTGCTCCATGACCTGGAGAGCCAGTAGAGCAGCATGTGATGCTTGAAGCTGGGCAATAGTATTTCCTCTAGAGTGTGGTCCATAGGAACCAGGATCTGTTGGCTCAGCCTCATAGTTCAGTTTATGAATCATTCTTTGCCATTCTACCTTTGGTAGGTAAAGACATGGATATAGGGGAGGACTAGAAGTCACATAGGAAAGATAATGTGGGGAGATTTGTTCTAGTTGAGTCTAAAAACAGGGCAATAGTTGGGCATGGTGGCGGATGCCTGTAATCCCAGCACTCAGGAGGCAGAGACAGGCAGATCTCTGTGAGTTCAAGGCCAGGCTGGTCTACATAGTGAATTCCAGGCCAGTTGGGGCTACAGGGAGACCCTGTCTCAAAAAGACAAACAAACAACAAACAACAAAAACAAAAAACCAGGGCTATCATGCACAGATGCCAGAAATGTGATCCCACCTCTTTTCAAGTTTTTTTTTTCCATCCCGCAGCCCATGAACTCTCACAAGGGCACCTTGCAGTCTGCTAGAGAGACCGATACTGTGATCTGGTCACTAAACATTCTCAGTCTGCTGGATGGACCTTCAAATAGCAGGAGTTTAAACTGCTCATGTACTTCTCTGTCTATATGCTTCACCCACAAAGCTTGTTCTTCAGACAGAACCCAGTTCAAGACACCACTCTCAGCCAAGCAGTTTGCCATTATCTTAGTTTCCTCCTTTCATACCTCAACTCCATGGGGAACAGAAAATACATACTCTCTAATACT